TATATAATTATATATATTAAAATATAATAATTATATCATAAATGTTTTTGATTGACAATTATCATTTTTTCTTTCTGAATATACACATGCTTGCAAGTCCTTGATCTTTTCATTAAATTACTATTAAAATTTATTAATACTCAAAAAACGAGTAATAATAATCTTGATAGACCGGCTGTCAATTTCACCTCAACGCGTTCGGGTGTTCGGTAAAAACAATAACGAAACCGAACGTTGACCGCTGCGAAGCCAATTGGTATATACAGCGTAAGGTAAACATCGGTGAAAGAACCTAATCGAACACTTATCATCCCACCACCGTTTTGCATTTGTACTTTTACGATTCCACGCATGTTGCGGCAATCAATTTCACGGCAAAGTGACGCAGAAAACTAACACATGATCGACGAGACAATCTGCCAACATTGTCATCATCGTTGTGTCCGTTCACAAAAAAAACGCGCGTAAACATCTAAAGAATTAAGCTAAATCGCATTATGGTTACGAAGAAGAAGTTTGAGCTGCCAACATTTCCTCCTGCTGTATTTTTCTCCGGTAGTTATCCAGTGTAACTTGTATAGTCTTCTCAGAGTAACGGCAGTTTTCGGCACCGCAGGTACATGTGAAGGACTTGCATTTTATTATCCAGAATTTCTCGCCGTAATCGAAGCTGGAGGCAAACAGATCCATATTTGTCTATCGTGCGAAATTAACAAAAGAGAGCGTGACGTAAAAAACGAGATGAGATTGGGTGTTTTCAGCAAAGACATAGTCAGACACAGTAAATCATCACATCCTTGTTTGCCTATGTTAAACAAGGATGAACCGATTCACTATGTTACACAGTGATGTTGTCTGACTGTGTTCTTGCTGAAAAACGCCCATTGTGAGATGTGTGAATGCTCTTAAAAATACTGTCACCTTAATCCGTCGTGCGTTAATATTAGATACGCGTAAGTATTATAAATTGTATGTAATCATTAGAAATGGAATTAAATAAAAAGAAAGATCTCAAAATCTTGCAAAAGTATATTTAAAAGAAAAGATTTTTTTAGAATTGTTTAGCCCTTTAGAGAAATAAATAACACAAAAAATGAAAGAATGAATGACACATAGAGTACAATCTATTGAAAGATTATAAGGATTATTTAAACACTATTATACTAAACATCTTTATTGGATAAAAATAACATTTGATCATTCTACATCAAACAAAAAGTAAATAGAATATTTTACTATCAAAATATATATTTGAATCACGACACAGAATTAAAGAGACGAAATATGAAGTAACAAAGGTGAAAAAAATTACAATTACGTGCTATGTTGATGAAACAAAAAAACAAATGTTAAGCAATTTATTAACAGAAAATGCTGTGCAACCATGTATTCCTGTTAATTTAGAGGCTCAATGAGAATATCTCAGAGATTTTCGACGTTTCATTGACTTCAACCTCTTTTTAACATACCCGAGCTCTTCATCTGCCTCGATGTCGCGATTAGCGAAGAATGCTATCCTTGGAAAATGGAGATCCTGATGTTCGACGAATACTCGTACCGGCAATAGATTCGGCGCGCACGAATGATTAATGAACCGAGCAATATTCCCATAACGTCTTGCATCTATACAATATGTTTCTCCATCCTGTGTACATCAAATAATTCTTTTATCCACAATCTAGAATAAAATAGCTTTTACATAGATATAGTAAGCTGTACAACACAAACGAGAAACAGTTATAAAGAAATGATTTTTCAAAAAGGTCCAAAATGTCCAAAATCTTCTCATAAAATAATAAACATTTTTTTGTACCTCAGATTATGTATTATCAATTTAAATTTAAGATTAAAATTTAAGATAACGAAGAATGACCGGATAGTTTGATAGAGCAGCTACCTTATCAAACGAAAGACTCATTGTCTACTAGAGAATTTTAACTAAAAAAATTATCCTAATAAAGAAGCAGAAATAAATACCAAGATAATTGAGTAATAAATGATATTGCATCCCTTGAAGAATGGAAAAATCTAAATATTATGATGAACGAACAACGTAAGTTGTCTAAAATATTGTAATTATCCAAATATTGTGTAGTAAAAAAAATTACGAAAACAATATGCAGACATTAAAAACAAAATTACTTCGCTTCTATAAACCAAAGTAAAAACTATGAGTATATAACTTACTCTGTTGTCCAAATCAAACAAGTAGGAGTCATCTTCGCGATGGTCAGCCTCGGAATCTGAGATTATCTCTCCAACATATTCACAAACATAGGTGCCTTTAGGAATATGTCGAAGAGTTCGAAGACCCCAACCCTTGCCTCTTGTGCGGAACAATTGAAATCGTTGAGTCAGTCCATGTTGAATAACTCGATTGTTACATGTAATGCGGTTGCAGTCGCAAGCTGGATTACATTCAAACAACATTGGTGGATCTATAACAAATATTATTTGTTAAGATGTTAATATCTTATTAAAATTATTTTCATAGAATATTCTATAATTTCTCTCTCATTAATTCAATGTATTTATTTTAATATATTTATAGTACAATTATTATAAGACTTTCTGTTTTTACAAATCAAAATTTTTTCAATGTTGACATTTAATAGATACCTGCATAATTAAATTCTGGTACGAGTTTTCCCTCTTCATCATACCAACATCGTAGACTTATATTTCCACACAAGCACTTTTCAGAACTACAGTTATCCTCACATCGACATGATTGCAACGATGTAATTGTGCGGTCCACATTGATATTGCTTGTGAAACAATTCTCCGTTATGTAAAGGAAATCGGTTGGCTTGTCCTCAGAATCATATCCGTTGACACATTGTATAGGATTTGTTTCCTTTCCACGTGAAATGTCACTATAAAAAGAATAAATAATAAAAAAAAATTATTGTAAGAGAAACTCAAATACAAATCATTTTTTATTTATCATACCTACATACAATATAATTTTTAGTGTTATAACAATATTTCTCAAGAAATTGTGAAATAAAGTTCTTAATATATCTAACTTGACAATCATAAGCCAATTTAATTTTTATAAAATTACAGCATTATTTATATATTTACTGTAGTGATAATTACGCTATACTTAATAAAATTCCATACTTACTTCGTCAATATCTTAACCGTTCTTTCCCACATATACTCGGCGAGTTCGTTGACTTTCGCATTCAATCTTAAAGCAGCCATAGTATCACCATCAGATGCACAACAATTCACCGCAGTTTCGCCAGCAGCATTTACCTCTCCTATTTTAGCACCACGCGCTAACAGCAGAACACTGACTGCGTATTGATCTTGTCTAGCTGCTATATGTCTTAAAAAATATATATAAATTATTGTTTTATAATAAGAAAAAATTGTCTAAAAAATTCAATTTATTCAAGATGACTATAAATGTTTCTACATATTCGCGTAATATGATAAATAATTTTAAAAGTACAATCTACAAGAAAAATGTAAAACGTACAAAGGGGTATCACCATGAACGTTAACAGCGTTCACATCGCAACCCTCGTTAAGAAGCATCTCCGTAATCTCGGAACTGCCGCTGAAGGCACTCCAATGCAACGCTATATTCTGTTCGGCATCTCTGATAAGTGGATCGCACTTCTTGTCCAATAAATATCGTGCGACATCCGCATGACAAAATTCGCATGCCCAGATTAAACTTGTCCAGCCACCATCATCCACAGAATCTGCAAATGAAAATGTCAGAGAACGTAAAAAATTAAATCTAAAAAATAATGAATATATTATTCATAATTAGAGACGAGCACACATTACCTACTAATGTTCTCGGCACTTTACACTCAGTCAGTATGATTTGGCAGACTTCTAAGTGACCGGATTTGGCAGCCATGTGCAAGGCAGTCATACCGTCCTCACCCTTCAGTGTCACATCGGCGCCTATCCTGACTAGGTATTTCACTACAGCGGCATTACCCTTACTTGCAGCTAGCATTAGTGGTGTCAATTGATTCCTATCCATTACATCTACTTGAGCACCAGCTTGAACCAGAACGTGTACACATGACAAATGACCTTTATCTGCCGCTATGTGCAGACCGGTTCGGTGAGCATAATCCCGGAATGTGTGATTTGCATTGTAACCACATGCTGGAAGAAATTATATATTATAATGGTATGATAATTAAGTTACTGAAATAAATAACAATTTCATCATTCGCTAAAAACAATTTTAATTATTAACATTTGTTAATATGTATATTATATAATAATATTATCGTAATATATATTATCATTAATAAATTACGTAGAATCTGAATCAGAGAACTTTAAATAATAAATGTGAACTTAGCTTATCTTACTTCTGAATAAAACTATTACTTAACAAGAAATTTAAAATGGAAAAATAAAAAGAAATATACGAAATTTATGATTTACAAGCTTGGAAATATTCAACTTCATAAAATTAATCATTGACTGATTTAAATTCTCATATTCCTCATCAAGTTCACTCACCTAATACATTAACCAACTTTTCAAGGTCCCCATTCTTCACGGATGTATAGAGACTCATAATGGTGTAACGTTCTGGCCTCTCAGTATTAATCGATGGTTCAGGTATCTTGATAACATCGGGCTTAATCAACGGACTGGGCGGATGCTCAGCCAACTTTGTATTATCACCTTTCCCAGGTAGGCTCATCTTTGCAGATGGCAATTTAGAAAATTTTTTACGCGTAGGAATGAAAACCGGCCGTCTCATGCCATTCATTGTCACCATCACATCATAAGCTGCTGTCTCACTGCCACAGTGCGGACAAACACCTTTCTTGTTCGGATATATCTCACATTCGCGATGGTACTGGTGACCATTGGTACACTGCACGAATCTGCCTTGTGAACAGAACATTCCGCAAGAAGGACAACAATTATGACGAAGTAATCGTTCCTTGTGCATACGGCAGAGAATAATGAAAGGCACGCGAGTGCTCGGCCGCCGCATCGCCACATCGTTGGTGTCCACTTCATTACAACAGCCTACCACCCGATTGTCAATCGAGTCGACAGCAGTACAGTAAAGTGGTCCCCCAGAACCAGTTATCGTCACGTATAATTGAGATCGTATTTGACATAGACACAGCATGGATTGCACATATGTCTAAAATTGATAAAAACAAGGATAAGAATATTATTCCTATTCAAATTTATTATAATTTATTATTTATCAAAAGAATAAAGAAAAGTCTATAAAAGTCGACATAGGTTTCTCGTATGTAAAAAATATAATAGAAATAGAAATAATAAAAAATATAATGTTTATTAATAAAAATCTAGACTTTTTGACTACATTATTTTGATCATCTTCAGTAACTGTCGCGATATAAAAATACGCTATTAAAATAAGTCGCTTGGTAAATTTATAATAATAGAAATGTATCTAAATTTAAAATCTCTTGAAAACGTCATAGTATTTGTTTAAATACTGTATATGTGAGTCAATCAATAAAATGATACCATTGTAATAATAAAAAATTCTAGTAAGTCATCTCGGAAATCAATCTCTTAACAATTTTTCTTCATCTAATATCTTAACTCCGTTCCAATCAAAATTATGTTGTGTGTTTATTCTGTGTTCAATTATAATGGAAAGTTGGAAGCAGTTCCTGTTAATGTGGTTGCGATGTTCACTAATTCTAGTTTTTAGTGACCTCTCCGGCTAACATAAGACGCCTCGCACAATTAATTTTATAGACCACGTTTGAATGAATCAATACTGGCAGCTTATCTTTGTGTATTCTAATAAAGGTGTTCAACTTATTGAGCTCTTTGTATGCAAATTTTATTAGCGGATTATTTTTAAATAATTTTTTAATTTTCTCAGAAATTGTGGGAATATATATATACGGAATTATAAAATAATTATTTAATTTGGCATTTTATATATATATAGTACCAAACAATGCATTTTTTATACCAATTACTAATTTCATATTGATTTAACTCACTGTCACATTGTCAGTCTTATTACTTCTTAATGTGCTAGCAATTTTAGACAACGTAACAAAAAATGTAAGTTTAAATAATCTTTAAATTAAAATAAATAAATAAATTACAGTAGTTAAATTTTAAATATTATACAGTCATCAAATTATAACTATTTCTATTCGAGAACTTGAATCAAGAACTTAGATTAATTTCTAGCATCATGGACATAGGGTTTAATAGTAAATAAGATATGCCGATCAAATGAGATTTGATTTACAGCGAATATTCACAGTTGATTCTTATTTTAAGATCGTCTTAAGTAAGATTAATAAGCTCCATGAATGGCTCATGATATCTTCAAATTATATTTAAAATAGTCTTAAATATAAGAACCGATTATAAATACCGACCTAAAACAATTATTCAAATAAATATATATGATAAATTTTTTTCACGTACATAAAAATTAAATTTTATAATCCTGATTTATAGCAATATTACAGAATCAATATTAGAATAAACAGATGATGGTACTCACTTCACTCAAAATAGCCGTTGATTCCGGTTTCGATGCTTGTCCTTCCGCGGGACTCGGGCTTGGCACCATACTTCGGCGAGTTCGTTTGGTCGGTATCTCTGTAATAAAGTTGACATAAAATTAATAAATTACTATTTTACATGTTTATAACAAAGCATAAAGAAGAGAAATATGTAAAATAATATACCTCCATGGCTAACTTTCCATTCAAATTTATTTTCATTCGCCCTTTTATATCCATTAAGTTTCGTGTTAAAAACTAAAGCTTTACCTTCAGGATAATCGTTATTTTTTCCCGCTTCTGCAACGGATGGAGAACCATCTGCAAAATAATTTATTGATTTTAATTACAATCGCTGTTCACCGGAATAATTATTATTTGTACAGATATTACATATTAGATTAACGTCACCTTCGTACAGATCTGCCTTTGCTATCTTTCGCGCTGCTTGAGTGCTTCCACGAGGACGTCCCCTGTCTCTCCTGGGTCGAACGGTGGATTGGGTGGCAGGTTTTAAGAAAGGTTTCTGAATATCTGCCAAAGGTATGTCGTCGCTGCTAGGACTACCGATGGAATTGCCCAGTTTGGTATGTGATTCCGAACTCCTTGTCATCGGTGATAACTTCGGCATTTCTTCGAAATCAGATGAAAAAATCTGCGAATCTTCCAAGACATTGTCGTTCATGCTATTCTCCGATAACGTGGTATTGTGCGAGGTTTCTAACATCGTACTCTCAGCCGTACTAATGCCGTCAGATGTTAGTGATGTTTCTACATCCTGACGAACATCGGAGACCTTCACATGTGCCTGCTTTACTTGTTCTTTACCCGGAATAATTTTCTTAGGTCGACCCGGTCTATTATACCTTTTTTTCTTGAACTCCTCTGTATAATTAGACTTTTCCTTACGTGCCATGGCGCTTTCTAATACAGTACTCTTTACCGATTCTTTACATAACCTTCTAGCAGAACGCTTAGGACCAGGAGGTTCCTCATCCTGAGGGACTGATTCACTGAAAATTAAGAAAATAAGTTTATAAATAGCACATACCTAAACATTCAACAAAAATAGAAAGAAGAAAACAAAAAACCTAAGTGCTCGTAATCTTGGTCGTCCAATTCTTCTCTTTCTAGTGGTAACAAGTGTGGTAGTTTCTTGTTGTGCAGTCTCTTCTGTTAACGCCTTATCGTTGCTGTTTTCAATATTATTCTCTGTGGTTTCAGGTTTCTTCGAAATAGGAAGTTGCGTGTCGCTATTTTGTTTCTCTTGTGTACTTTCCATTTTGTCCTCATTCATAGTTTTCGATTCTGTCACCTTTATAGATTCCTTCTTCTTTGCCTCCTCTGCTTGAATCTTCTCTGATTGGGATTCCTCCAGTTGGGACTCCTCGACTTGGGATTCCTTTGCCTGAGACTCCTCAGCTTGGGACTCTTCCACTAAATCAGAATTTTCATCAGAATTTTCTATCTTTACCAAGACACCATCAATGTCATTGCAAGCAAACTCATCAGGAACTAAAGCGAGATTAGAAGAACAACTGGATATCTTAGTCTTTTTGCCATGATCTGTATTCAGATCAATGGTTCTGAATGTTAAGACAATCCTGGCCTTGTCCTTTTTAACAGTGTCCTGCTTATCCGCCAAACTCTCCTCCTCACCATTATGATTCTCCTCCGGAGTTTGAGAAGTAACTGCATCCTCTAAATTTTCAGCAGCTTCCTCACTGACACCATCGAGTTCTCTTTCCCCCTTGGACGTTTCGTCGACGACCTTGGATGTCACCGGCGTCACCGTTTCCTCCGGTTCCATTTTATCACTGTCATTATTCTTCGTCGGACTCACACCCTTGTTAAACTCGTTCGTCATCCCCTCGAGGATCTCGTGAATACGAACATTGTCGTCGACAACTCTGTTGTCGGAGGCGGCCATATCTCCCTCCTTTCCGTTGGTGCCGCCGGACTCCGTCACTGGTGGCGCCCGACACCCTTCGGGTGTCGCGGCGACGAGCTCGTTGTCGCCTTCCGCTACAGCGGCCATACCTGGTACGCGCAGTTAGCTATTGCTACGAGCAGTAAACTTGCTGCGAGAAGCGACGACGCGCATCTCCAAAGATGTATCTCATCCTGCCGCCTATGCGGTATGTTCTTCGATTACCAGCACATGCTCCACCACGTATCCTTCAAATTATCCTTTCTTTCTCTTCTTTCCTCTTCTTCCGCGAAGATTTGCTCTTTTTTACCAGCTCCCTAATCCTTCTTCCGAT